ACAAGTTTAGAAATTTCCTCTTTCCTGAAACTAAAAACAAAGAGAAAACCCTAAGAAGTCTTGCTTCTTCCTGAAACCTATCAACTGCCATGAAGCCTAAGGCTTATCAGAGCTGACATGACAGTTTAGGAAGGTCGCACACTTTTTACACCTACCTGTAAGCTTCAACAGAGGCATTGCTGCTGGGCTCCTTGGTTCTGGGATGGCAGAGAAGGGAAGAGAGCAGACTGGGGCTAACTGCCTGACTGGACAAAATACCCTGACATGCATCTGATTATTTCACTTTGCCCCTGTAATCTGACCTTTCTCTGCTAAAAGGGGAGAGATGAGCTTGAGCCCTATTTATAGTTTTAGACAATTGACAGAAACAGGTGAAGCTTCCAGTTTTTATTCCCTCTGAGATGTTAAAAAAGGTATCTTTGGTAGGCTGGGAATTGCATTTCAGTAGTCTCTCAATCTTTCTGAGACTGATTCATGCCAAGTGTCCTTTGCTGATATGGCTGGTCCACTGGTGGTTATTTTTTACCCCAATGAAACCAAACACTGGCAGATTAAATCTTCTTGAAATACCATTTTGACCATTAGGTTTAGTTAAAAAGGATTCACTGGGCCTCCCTGGTGGTGCAGGGGTTAAAGACACAGCTCTATCAGGCTACTGCCAGCCACTGCAGGACAAGTCCCGGACCAGGGAGGGACCCACAGGGCACAGCAGTCCTCTTCTGCCTCCCCGCTGCTCCCCTCAGCAGTGTGTTTCTGTTCTGCTCCCCACTCTGTCTCTGGTGAATCCTCTCACACACACTGCTGCCCCGGCACCTCTGGCTTGTACCCAAGCTCTTTATTCATAAATAAATCAATCTTAAAAAACAATCTGTCAATATGGAAAAAGTTTTAGGTGCAAATATTGTCACAATATATTAATACTTACAAAAACTGTTAAGAACTTAAGGGATTAGTTAGAATGTTTTACAGTCATTTAAAATAGCTTAGGAGGATTTGGGGATACTATTGGGTAAATGATTAAGTCATGATGTTAAGCCAAAAAAATAAAAAGGAAGACAATAAAGGGACATGTGTACTTTAATCATAACTTTTTAATAAACTTTTTAATTGCATAGAAAATATTGAAAAGAAAAACACTAATAACATGTTCAAGTGATAACTTTGGGTGATGGCACTGGGCTTTCTCTTATTCTTTCCTAAATCTCCTACTTTGTCTAAGTGAGTGTTTATTATATTTGGTGCATTTTCTCTTTTTATTTCACATGAAACATGTATTGCTTTATAATGAAAATAAATTTAGACTTATTATCTTTAAATCATGGTGTACAAACCTGGATTCTGAACCATCGGAATGCACAGATAAGTTCATATTTCTGATATGAATTTCAGCTCACACTGTATCTAGAGGCATTCTATCAGGTCCTTCTCACAGCTGTGGCAGGAATGGTTTGGCTTAGACTAGAAGAGTGGATTTAAACATCAGAGTTTTCTCCTGGGATCACCAAAGAT